AGTTATTCTTTGCGAAACAGCTTTGTCAGTTAAAATTTGTTTTCGTCATTTAATTTTTCAATCTAAGGTGGGATTCTTTGCAGCTTTGCACATTTCAATTGCAATCTGGATTGGAAGGGGAAAGGTTTACTCTCTCTGCTGCTGTGCAGGCAGCCTGCTCTGCCAGACAGAGAGAGGGAAACATAAGATCCTCTCACTAGGGAGGACAGAGGTGCTTTTATGTCGCCAAAGTCTCTTCTAATACAGAAACAATGTCACTAGATTTGGCGCTAGGCCCTTTTTTACAATAAAAGTACTAGTCTGAAAATGCATTACATTTAGAGTGCTTAGTTGGCAACATTCTCAATGAGAAACATAAACCCCTTTCCCACTGGCCAAAAAACCTGTTTGAACTGGTGTTCTGTCAGATCGCCATACTCCGTCATACCAGCATACCCTTAAGTCAATACACATGTGCATTAAGCCTTTACTTTATCCCCATTTATCCCCTTAGTTTTGTATGAAAAATAGACTTTAGACTACCTCAACAGGCGTGTATCCCTGTAGTCACATACAGAAAAACAATTTAAGGTCAGATCACAATACGCTTCAAAAAACACCAAAAAGTAATTAAAATTTATTTTTTTTTTTTTTTGTACATGACTACAGAAATACATGCCTGTTGAGGTAGTTTAAAGTGTATTTTTTGTGTAAAACAGTGTTCCCGCGTGTCCTTAAAAAGTCTTAAAAGGCATTGAATTCTTCAAAATAAAACTAAGGCCTTAATTGATATTAAAATGTCTTAAATCTGTCTTTCATGGGTCTTAATTTTTAAAACACCATAAATAGGATTATTTTTATTACGATTTATTTTCTAAATAAAACGTTAAAATTGACAATTTTTTTTTTCTTTTTTGTAAAAAAAATAATAACAGCTCGCCATTATTGGTTCCGTCTCGATAGCGGAACCAATAAAAGGATTGTTGCGGCCGGGACATTTGGGAGATGCACCATTAACTTTCTGTCTGGAAAATATGAGCAAGTGTAAATGTAACCAAAATTGTCTCCAGACAAGAGTTTTCTCCATGGCTAAAACCAGGGAACATACATGAGGCTCAGTGGATTTAGTGCAAGAGGCGATTCAAGCTCAGAACGATGGGAATTAAGGCAGTGGAGTCACACATGCGAAGCACGAAACACAAAGCGTCAAAATGGAGTTACCGAGAAACAGCCGGTATTTCTCAGTTTAGTTCCACCCTTGTCTCTGCAACGCCTCCACTTATCACCAAATCAAACACACTAAGAAAACGATACAAAGAAAAATAGCTGCAAAAAAGACTTAGCACTGGTTATGTTGTGGCTTTAAAACTGATTTGTTTTGTTCCCTGCTAAAACAAAGTTTTAGCCTGACGTAGTCCTACTCAATTCTAGTCAGAATATGAGTCTGATGCTGCTCCATAGAGCTGTGATTATGGGGCGTGTTTCGAACGAACCAGGAAAAAAAATGCCTCTGCACTCAATTGGATAGACCTACAACCAATAAGAGCAACGGAGTGCGTGACGTATGTTAAGCGATGCATAGTTGTTGTCAACAAAAATCAAAGCGTGCAGTTGCACGCCTAGAATAAGAAGATGAGCCTTGATCGCGTTTCTCTGTTCCTCTTTTAAAATTAATTTGCTGTCGATATCTTCTAGAACAGACCTAATAGCATAATCTACTCACCTCAACTCTCCTGCGGCAGCCATTGTTGTTGTCACCCATGCGCGCTTTGGTCACGTGGTTGATTACGTTACTGTTGATCATCTGTCCATCATCGTATAAAGCCCGCCCTGACAATTTGATTGGATCGCCAGAGGGTGGGCGATCATACTCGCGCTACTATGGAGCAGAGCCAGACCGAACTTCCCGACCTCAAACCTTGTGGGCGGGACTAAGTTCGGAATGGCACCCAGGCTAACAAAGTTTGTGAATTCAGTTAAATAATTGTTAAAATGTATCTGTCATTTGTGTGTTTTTAGCTTTCTTCCTGTATGGGAAGCTTTTCAAAATTTGAAACATTAGTGCAGTGGTTTATGTTAAAAAAAACCTTTGGGTTAAGTTGTCGCAAGCAGGTTTTTCTTGTTTCTTGTGAATTTGGTCCCAAATTATTATTTCAAGTGGCATTAAAAAGTCTTAAAAATTCTTGAATTTAACTCGCCTTATGCTGTAGGAACCCTGTAAAACTAAAGGGATAAACTGAAGGGATAACAGGAATTGACCATATGTATGCTGGTCTGACGGGGTATGCTCATCTGACAGAACACCAGGAACAATCGGCTTTTAGTGGCAGTGGGAACAGCTCACTGTTCGTTTGTCTACCCGGGTCAAACAACTCGGAAAGCGACCTGCGTTAAAATTGTCTTGGCACTGATTGGCATGCGGTGGGAACACCACAGACCCGCTAAATTAGGTGATACCATTGAATGAAACATACGGACTTCGACAAACCGCGCCAGATGTTTCTGATCTATCAAGCTGAAACAACTCTGTTTAAATTCGCTAAACATGGAGCAGCTCTGGATGGAGAGATTAGGATGGATAATAGAGCAAATCAATGAAGCAGGCTTACTACGCTCTGTCTTTCATCCCATGTTGCTCTTCATTGTTTACATCCCTGATTTCCACCTCATTGTCAACATAATCAACACTCACCCAGGATGATGCCATCACCAGACACGCAGTGGTGAGGGCGACAGTCAAGAGGGCCAAAACCGAATGTCAGCGGATATACCCGGTTCTGAAAAACCCTGATTTTCAGTAGGAAAGCGGCTATAGAGGAGTGATTCAGAACATAAATGAATGTTTTAGGACTTAATTTTAGACAGTTCCTATTTTTAAGGTGACCTTTTTTAGAGTGCAGCGCTAGATCGCATCTGCAATATAATCACAATTTTACAAAAAGCAATTTTCAAATTGAAGGGGAACAATATTTACCAAGTTAAGGCTCATGTTTAGTAAATGGGAATAAAGAAAAAATAAATCTAATCCTGAAATGAAACTTTGCAAAACGTCTTGGTTAAGAACAGGGTTTCTTAGGAACTTTATTTTTTATTTTTTTTGCTTTATTTCCAAATTGTAATTTTAAGATTTTGTAGGACTGAGTTTTACAAATTGCATTTATTCCAAATACATTTTCAAGATTACATTCTCTTCACTTCTGGGGAATTAAGAGACACATCTCTATTTTTCTGGTGGAAGTTAGGAACAGTTTAAATGGTTCAGTGCCAGCATTGGTACTGGGCTTAAAATGAAGAGAATGCGATCTGTGAAGACTTAGACCTAAACGATGTTTATTGTAATTTTGTATACACAGCGTGTATACAAAACAAAATTTTATTTTGTAAAGCTCTCAGAATATCTCCATTCCTTAAACAGCAGCAAGGATCAAATGTAAACAGTGTGGGAGAAAAAACGGTGCAAAAACACACATCGATATGGAAGTTCAGAGCATTGTGACCCAAAAACAAAATTTGCAAAGATTCCATTTGTAAAACTCAATATATGAAAAGATAAATATATATCTGAAATACAATTTCACTTCTTAAATATGCATATATGTGTTAAATTTGAAAAAAAAGAAAATTGAATTAAATTAAAATTAATTAATTAACTAAAAAGGTACAATATAGATGAAATATAAAAATTAATATTTATTTGTTTTCAAAAACAAAACAAAAAAACGAAATTAGTTACAAATTTAGGTTGCATTTGTACGGAAGAGGATTAGGGCCACTGAAAAAAAAGTTAACTGATTTTTAAATTTTATTTCAGTTTCACATGGGAAAAAGTCAGAATTCTGACTTTTTTTTTTTTTCAGAATTCAGAATTCTGACTTTAATCTCAGAATTCTGACTATAATCTCAAAATTCTGACTTTAATCTCAGAATTCTGACTTTTTTCTCAGAATTCTTACTTTTTTTCTCAAAATTCTGACTTTTTTTTCTCAGAATTCTTACTTTTTTTCTGAAAATTCTGACTTTTTTTCTCAGAATTCTTACTTTTTTTCTCAAAATTCTGACTTTTCTCAAAATTCTGAATTTTTTTTCCTCAGAATTCTGGCTTTTTTTCTCAAAATTCTGACTTTAATCTCAGAATTCTGACTTTTTTTCTCAGAATTCTTACTTTTTTTCTCAAAATTCTGACTTTAATCTCAGAATTCTGACTTTTTTCTCAGAATTCTTACTTTTTTTCTCAAAATTCTGACTTTAATCTCAGAATTCTGACTTTTTTCTCAGAATTCTTACTTTTTTTTCTCAAAATTCTGACTTTTTTTCTCAGAATTCTTACTTTTTTTCCTCAGAATTTTTACTTTTTTTCTCAAAATTCTGACTTTTTTCTCAGAATTCTTACTTTTTTTCCTCAGAATTCTTACTTTTTTTCTCAAAATTCTGACTTTTTTCTCAAAATTCTGAATTTTTTCCCCTCAGAATTCTGACTTTACCATGAAGGGGGGAGATGTGGGAGCACTCAGCTTCACTGACAAAGATGTGAGTTGTTTGAGGTGGCCAGTGACACATTGGTGGAAAATGACAGAATTAGGCAACTTTTTACGTGGCCGAGGGGTCCCCTCATTAATGGAGGAGCAGAAGGTCATTAAAACAAGAGAGCTAGTCTCTAAAACAGACATGACTATGGCTTGATGCTAACATGTTTGTTAGCTGTCAGAATTCTGACTTTTTTCCCCATATTAAACTAAAATAAAATTTAAAAATCAGTAACCTTTTTTTTTTTTTTTTTTAGTGGCCCTAATCCCCTTCCGTACATTTGTCTAAATCCATTTTAAAACATATTCTGTCGTTTCAACAATAATGGAACAAAAAGTCCTCAGCAGGTCCAGAGGACACTACTGTCTTTGTTGGACCTTTTTTTGTCTTTCTGTCCACTGCAGATTCATTCACTGAAAACAAACAGGCGTTTTGTTTTTCTCTGTTTTTAATATCCTCCTTTTTACCCCCTAATATTTTGATTCATGCTGTTTCAGTGTTGGATAAGTATCAGCTCCATAACCTCCGGTGTCCTCCTGGAATGAGCTGTGGAGACTTCCTGAAGCTGCTGAGGTCCACCTTCCCTATGCTGGCCTCCAAGACTTACTTTGAGACCTTCAAAAGCAACCCTGACAGGAAGCTCCTACCTCTCTATGTCAACATATTCACGCCTGAACAGATCACGAGAGAGGCCGGGGAGTCGGCCCTCTTCATCCGGCTAAAGGTCCGATCCCATTCTACAGAAATCGTCTAGAAATCCTCTTTTTATCTGATATTTTGCTGAAAAGCTGTTTTCCTTTCAGCCTCCAGAGGACATCCAGGTCAGAAAACGGAGCAATTCGGATGATGCTCGTCCTTCCTTACGGTATGCAGCTCCCCCCGCCACAGCGTCAAAAAACCACCGCTTCTTGGCTCCTTTATAGTCGGATTGATTCCACTTGCTGTTTCATCCTCTAATCATTGACTCTTGTTGTTTATTTTTTCTAGAAAAAAAAGTCCGGATCATAAAAAGGTCGATGATAAAGACGCCCCAATGAGCCTCCAAGTCTGTTTGCTGGAGTCCGACGTTGATGTGCTCAAGCCGCAGGGTGAGCTGACAGATACTAGATCTATCAGTGGAAGCCTTTTTCTCTTGGTCAGAACCGTCCTCACAGGAAAGCTGAAAGTTTTAGCGTCTTAAAATACTTTTAAAAAGGAAAACTAAAAAAGATCTTTAAGGTACCTGTAGGGCTGGGCGATATAAGAAAATCTAATGAGGCAAAATATTTGGGCTATAATGTTGATACACGATATATATCATGATATGTTTAAATTACCTTCAAAAACAATAGAGTGCATAAAGTTTTACTTTCTCTCTTACGGGATTGCTTTTTCATATGACGAGGCACATCTGCTTCAGAGCTGATTTATTTAACGTTTTAATTGGTGTGCGGGGAGACGCTGACATGTGGGGATTACCACATTCGTTTTGCTGCGGATTACTTTTTAGGTGGTGGAATAAATCTATACTGCTAACGAGGGGTGTAAATAATTGTTTTGTATCGATGCATCAATCCAACAGCTGACGATCCGATGCATCGACACGTCCGCAAGAGAATCGATTTATGTTTTTTTCCTCCGGTCTATTTTTATCCATTTGCTCCTGGGCGTAATTCTCCCTCCCGTGCTGCAGTGGCGCTAAACCTATTTTGCCCTCCTACCTCGCTTCCTGGTTATACTCTTACAGCAGTGTGTTGCAGTGAGCTTGACACAGACAGTTTTAAATTATGCTCAATATTGCAGCGTGGTCTGCGCTACACACTGTGGGTCTAGATACGGCCGAGGCGGCGAGGAAGTGGGGGCGAGTTTAGTCCGACGACGGAGGGACATGAGGGCCAAAAAGAGCGGAGATCCAGGTGGAAAAAGGGTCCCAGCGTTCTTGCGCACCTCGCTCTTCTAGCAGGTCAAACTTCATGAGTTGTTTTCTGCAATTTCGGTCATAAAAACAAAACAAGCCGGCCTCCTGTCTGCGGTCAGCTACAGTTTGGGAGAGGAGCAGCGGAGCGTCTGTGGAGGGGGCGGGACGTCTGGAGCCGAGGTATTGCATTGCACTCATTGCACTGATTCTGTGCAGTATTTTTTGATGCAAGGCCTTTCAGAATCTATAACGCAGGGGTATTATTATTTTTCAGTGAATGAGGTTTTAATAGGAATAGGTGGAGTACAACTTTTCTACTTCTGTTATTTGCTGTTGTTTCTCAAAAAAAATGCATAACGATATTACAGCTTTCATTGATTTATTTCAAATTTGAAACATTGTCTAGCCTGTAAAGTGTTTAAAAAAAACAAACCAAAAAAAAAAACGAACCAATTAATCGAATCGTATCGTGGTGTATTCTTGAGTATCGAAAATAACCGAATCGTTGGGTCAGGAAATCGATACTGAATCAAATCGCCATGATGGATGAGATTTACACCCCTACTGCTACCTTTTGCAGCGATGGTTTTTGCGGCACGTCTTACAAATTGGTGCCTTTTGTTTGACGTCCTCGGTGTGAAATCCAAACTACTGCCATGTACTGATCAACTGAAACACCTGCTGTCGCCCTATTTCATTTGCCGGTTGCTATAGCAGAAAATAATCCTGTTTGGAGGAGGGGTTTATGATGCATTCAAAGTGTGTGGGGAAAAATAAAACTCTAAGTGAAAAAGATGCAGATGGCTTAAAGTCTTCATGTGAATTTGAACTCGATGGTTGCGATAGTCATTTTAACTATACATCGAGTATATTCGTTTTATCGCCCAGCCCTCGGGAGCTGTAGTCCCTAGATTGGGTCCAGTTGAGTTGTCCAACTCAGCTCTGTCTCTTCTCTCTATTATTATATTTGCGATAAGGTGATGAAAATTTTCGCATGTTGTCAATTTTGACTAATTTAGAGCAATCGGAATACTTTCAAATCAATTTAGCATGTAAACCCAAGAGATGAATTAAAGGATTTGCTTAATCGGAAACCAATGACCTTTAGTCAATTGAGTCTTAAGCTTCTTTGATTGCGCTACTAGCTAGCAGACATAAAGGGACTCCTCTTCAATGGCTATTTTGTCATAATTTGTTAATGAAAATGTGATGAGCATGTACGGAAACACAAGCTCAGTGAAATAAGGATCGTTTTAGCTTCATAAACAGCAGCTCAAACATGTTAGCATGACACATGCGCCCAATTTGGCTAGCTTTTTTTTAAACATTAAAGGCATAAAATGGTCAAAAATCATTAGAAAGACGAATTATTTAGCTGGAAAATCTGTCCCTAAATGTGTCAGACTTGTACCTCTGCTGTTCTCCGTTTTGAAAAATGCTGACTTGCATTGTTCAGCAGCTTAGTATAGCTGGCCACATCAGGGATGTTCTTTGTTCTCAGGTGCTCCACATCTCCAGCCTTCTTCAAAGTTGGCTGGAAGATGAAAAATACAAATTATGGATTAAACGGGGACAAACCCCACGAGTTGCCTCTTGTAAAGTCTGCAAAAAAGATGCTTGCATTTTGACGTTGTGTTTTCAAGGTTTGAAAAGTGCTTATATTTTGGATGAAATGCTTGAAAATGCTTGAAATTGTAACTATTTCTTTCGCAACAAATACCTATCTAACTGAATCGTGTGTTTATTAAATGGAGAAATAAAATGTTGGAGAGCCCGAAAATGAAACCTGCTCGCTTATGTGTGACTGCGATCTGCCAGTCTATTTCCATGTGACTCCGCCCCCATGAAACCACCAACTGCACCATGCCGGGAGGTTGTTGTTTCAATGAACGTTGGCTGGAAGATGAAAAATACAAATTATGGATTAAATGGGGACAAACCCCACGAGTTGCCTCTTGTAAAGTCTGCAAAAAAGATGTGCAGCTTTTTACAATGGGCGAGTCTGTGCTCTCGAGTCACATGAAGGGTAAGTCATAGACTTTTAAGTAAGCCAACTAAATTAGCCTAGTACATGTTAACGTTAGCACCTATTTGTTTACGCTAGTAAACTGCTAGCTAGGTATTCACAGGCTAAGTTACGTGTTACGTGTTTGTCGTCTTCATCATCGGTGGACTATAGTAGTTAATTAAAACTGATAATAGAAGATAAATATCTGCCGGCCGTCATCTGCGCGAAACTGGTTCCGTAAGGTGCTGGAAAAAGTTTTAAAATGGATTTTGAAAGTGCTTGAAAAGTGCTTGATTTTGACTTTGGAAAAGGTGTACGAACCCTGAATATGGGAAATATTAAAATTATGGGTCCTGGTACAACTGTTTTATTTCCAATACGATACCGATATTGGAGCTTTGAGGATGAACAGATACCGATATTGACTGATATGATATTAGCTTGAATAATAAAGTTTTTATTACTTATTTTATACTGAAGAATGTTGGAAAACACATGTGCTAAGTAATATTATTACAACAGGAAACAAAAGTCAGCAACAAAGAATATGAAAACAACTGACCCATTTAAATTAACCAATGAGTTAAAGAAACTTTTACCAGAAGTAGAGAGTTTCTGTTAGCATGAAAATATGTTACATTTTAAATGCTGGCTGATAAAATCTGATATCAGTTTGTTTGGCTAATATCTAATATAAATATCCATGTTAAAATGTTAGTCTGGACCAGATCATTAAGATTTTGGACCAAATGAGATCCCTGAGCTCTGTTTGGCTGCCAGAGTTGCCGCTTACTGTGAGAGCCCTCCTTAACAAAGATATCTGTGTGGGGAGAAATCGCACAAGACTGGATGAGCTGGATAAAGTCAGATGAAGAGTAGAACATGTAGCACCACATGTCTCTTCCATGCTGAATGTTTCCTTTGTTTTTTTTGTTTTTTCTCTCAGCTCTTAACAAGCACAAAATCCATGAGCTGAAGTGTCCCTGGGGCCTGCAGGAGAAGGACTTCATGGATCTACTAAAGTCCATATTTTCTCAGCTGGCTGGTCAAGCTTTCAAGGTTTTAACTCTTCAAAGCGGGAAACTTCTACCGCTGAAGGTTAACCGCCTCGTTCCGGAAGAGATCCAGAGGGCTATCGGTCATGTCGACCAAAGGTTCCCTCCACCAGTTCTCTACATTCAGCTGCCGGTATGTCCGTTCGCCTTTACCACAAATCCAGATTCCAGCTCCTTGAAGCATCGGTTAGAAATAAAAACCTGTTATCGTCTGTGAAACCTTTGAAGAAACCTTCACAGAAAGAAGATCCTAAACCTGTAGCTCATCCCAGCACAGCATATCCAGACATCCAGACCCTAAGGTAACCTAAATCCCCCACGGCTTTGAGTCTAACTGTTTCATTTCTAATGTTCTCTTCTAATCTCGGTGTTTTTCTTTGTTTTAGCAACTATGAACCAGAAGAGTTGCTCAATCTGAAGATCTGTATCCTGGATGACCCAAAAATACATCACATCACCCCTTCAGGTAAACCAGCTGATTGGATGGCTGTCCTTTAATCTTCTCTTTATGCCCAGAACCACTAAATTATTGGTTCCATTATTATAAACATAAATCTTAAAGCAGGTTTTATATTTTTTCATTGCTTTTTATAATTCAAGAGGTACAGTTTCATGTATTTCCAATGAATAACCTGGAAGACTTTCAGAAGTAGATAGAAAGGACCTTCAACAGGTCGAAGGTTATTAACTTGTGTGTCACACTGAGCTTGTCCCACATATTTTTGATTTATGCCCAATATTGAAGCATGGTCTGCGCTATGTTATCCCACGCTCTGATCCTCGGGGCTGAAAACAAGCAACAAGTCAGAATCTCTCACTGTGCCCGTTGTGCCGGCTCGGTTCCGATGAGAAGAAACTACCTTTGAAGTGGAGCGCTTTCATCCTCCATTACTCCACAGGTGGTCGGCTGAGGTTCGTCTTTAACCAGCTGAAGGTTCTCTTCATTCTCACTGTCATCCTCTCCACCCGCCTGTAAAAAAACAGAAAAGGCTTACATACAAGGCCATGAGATCAATTAAAGAACTTTCCTTTTTTAGTCTTGATCGATCCACCCAAACCTCTTGTTATTTAATCAAGCAACAATCAACCAAAGGATCAGGGAGCTTGTCCAACAGATTGTCCAACATGGACGGCAAATGGAACAGTCCACATTAGTCCACCTCAATGTTTTTAGTCCATAACTCTTTGGTTAATATGTGAACATAGAGAATATCTGGTAGGACCTTTGATTTTCAGTGCTTTATGATCCTAAAGGTCCCAGAGATCGGGGAGTGATTTACGCAACATGAGAAAAGGAGCATTCAGATCATCATAACAACAATACCGTCAAAACTAGCACCGAGCAAAACACCTTTGACCTTGAAGCCTGGTTAGATATGGCTCTAAGCTTCATGAGTCCATTGCCTTTGGGTTGTTAGAGTAACCCACCCCCCATCATGCCTCACCACAGGAACACCTTTCAGATCTTTCTGGTGGTTTCAAAGGTGTTTTCGTGACTGAAGGGATGGCTATCCTCATGCAGAACAGGTCACAGGTATGACGCAGATATTTTTGGATTTATGCCCAATATTGAAGCGCAGTCTGGGATATGTTTATTCCACGCCAAAACGCAAGAGGGACAATCAGGAACTAGCTGTGGGTCTAGATACAGCCGAGGAGGTGAAGAAGTGGGGGCAAGTTTGTGCGACAACGGAGGGACATGAGGGCGAAAAAGAGCGGGGATACAGGAAGAAAAAGGGTCCCAGCATTCTCACGCACCTCGCTCTTCTAGCGGGTCCATCTTCATGAGTCGTTTTCCACAATGGCGGTCATACAAACAAAACAAGCCGGTAAGGAACCAAGCAGGAAATACACATAGTCTAGAGCGGATGTAGATTTGACCAATCAGAGGCCTCCTGTCTGCAGCACTGTCTGCGGTCACCTACAAATTTTGAGAGGTGGAGCAGAGGGTCTGCGGAAGGGGCGAGGCACATCTGCATTCACTGTGACATACACAGACGACCTGGTTTCTGAGCACAAATCAGCCTTAAGATGTTATGAATAAACCTTGAGAAAGAAACTGGCTTGTTATGGGAATAAGTATGTCTTTTCTACAAACAGTCCTCTCACTCAGGTATTTTGTGGCCTTGAAGGTGAAACAGACTGAAAAAAAAAGATTTTTCAGTAACTAAACAGCATAACTAAATATATGAAACAAGAAACAAATAGAAATCCAAATTTTCCAACGACAGTGTCTTCTTGTAAACATCAGGGATGATGCTTGGGTGAACTCAGGATCTATGCCTCACAAAACACCTGCAAACTATGACCTGATTTTATTCATTTTATTATTTTTTGACTGATGGTGTTCCGTTCTCTCAGTGTTGCAGACACACCCCATCCAGGATTTCCAGTGTCCCGGGACTCTACTGAAGGCTGGCTTTCTGAACCTCTTGCAGTCCAAGTTCCCTAAGCTGGCTGGAGCCAATTTGGATTTCCTGGTCGATTACGGCACATATATGAGGGCTATAAATCTAAAGAATTCAATGGCAGAGAAGATCAACAGGATCCTGATATCAGCCAGGACTAGAGTCCTCTACATCATAATGAAGGTTAGAGGCTCATTGTCTTTCCTGCAAGGTCAAATATTCCTACTCTTCTTTTTTTCTGAGATGCCAGCAGCACAGATCAGAGCTGCTGTGTTCAGATAAGGGGCGTAGTGATTTAATCAAGGTCTCCAACTCTTTCAGGAAAAAACTAACGTCGAGGTCAAAGGAAAAAGGAGTCACTCTAGTGTTTCTGATGAAAGCATTTCTTCCCACGGTAAGTCCTGCTTGTTTATCTGAGTAGGAATTTTAAAAAATCAGATGCGGTCTCAGCCCCTGATTATATATTAGCTGCTATAAGAATGTCACTACTCCTCTATCATCAGAGTTCATCCTCTAGTGGCCTTCATAGCTCTGATAATATGCATTAGTAGCATGAAGTGTCCTCCCTTTAAGTCTTCTTAATTGAACCCGCAAATAACTGGGTACACATTGACCAGCAGGAATCAACAGCATTGCAGAAACAAATAGTACCCGATGAAAAACCTGCGACTTGTACGCGTACACTCTTCTTTAAGATTTTATTTAAGATCTGAACATGATAACTGGAGTCTGGTGTGCTATTGCTTGGTTGGAATGAAAATCTGCATCCACACGGCCCTTTCTGGAACAACTTTGACACCTTTGCTCCAACCTGTAGAAGTACAAGCTTTAGATGAACTTCTAGCCTCTGTCACACCTTGATGATTTAGACCAGCGTATGCCTGATGTACAGCAAAAATGCTGACATACGTTGGATAAGTTATGGGTACATTTTGTATAAGTTATGAGCACACTGAAGCACATTAAAGGGAAACACCGTTTTTTTTTTTTTTTTTTTACATTGGGCCCTTGATTTTACATTATTACATCATGTTCTACTCACCCATATGAGTTTTTTGTCATTTGGAGCCGTTCTGAAGATGTTCCGTTAAGTTATATCCAAGTAACGTCTTCCTATGGGCAACGACTTGAAGGCACAAACTAAACTGTTCATAATTTATTCATTATGGTACGCCAGCATTCATAACATGTAGGCGAATCACTGTCCCCCAGACATCCGCAGATTTCAAAAATTGAGCATCAAGGCCTGCAGTGTGAACGTAGCCTATGTTACCTCATGTGCAATCTGGGACAACATGACAGTTTATTTTCTCTCCACAAACTGGTCAGGTAGAAATCATTTCTGCCAAATAGCAGTTCACAGAAACCCCTATAAACCATTGCATCATCTGCATATAGTGTAATCTCTTTTTTTTAGTAAAATCGTATATGTTTAGAAAAGCATGGAGTGTTGCTTTTGGGCTGTCGGTGTCTGATCATATCTCACCATGTCTCATCCTGGCCTTAATTGTTTGTGCTTCTCAAGTTGTAATTTCCTGTCCAGTATCCTTAAAAGCAAACGTTTAAATTTCCAGAAAAAAAAACAGACAGAAATCCAAGATTTCAGAAGTCGTAGGTTATTCTGAACTTGATCAGACTTTCTTTTCACACTGAACCTTAAATGTCTACTTGGTTTCTTTTTTTTTCTCTTCCTAACACTGTCCTCTCTGGCGATATGGCAATAAGAATAATTATCTTGATGCCAAAAAGAGCCCAACGGATTTTTCTTTGACAAGTGTAGCAGTACGGCTATCGCCATAGTGTTCATAGTAAAAAAAACTGAAAAAAAAGGAGAAAAGATTAAAGAAAGAGAAGATGAAAAGGAGATAATGATAAAACATCGTCAGTCTGCTTTATCACCTGCAAAGATACACTATATTGCCAAAAGTATTTGCTCACCTGCCTTGACTCACATATGAGCTTAAGTGACATCCCGTTCCTAATCCATAGGGTTCAATATGACGTCGGTCCACCCTTTGCAGCTAGAACAGCTTCAACTCTTCTGGGAAGGCTGTCCACAAGGTTTAGGAGTGTGTTTATGGGAATTTTTGACCATTCTTCCAGAAGCGCATTTGTGAGGTTGCACACTGATGTTGGACGAGAAGGCCTGGCTCTCAGTCTCCGCTCTAATTCATCCCAAAGGTGTTCTATCGGGTTGAGGTCAGGACTCTGTGCAGGCCAGTCAAGTTCATCCACACCAGACTCTGTCATCCATGTCTTTATGGACCTTGCTTTGTGCACTGGTGCACAGTCATGTTGGAAGAGGAAGGGGCCAGCTCCAAACTGTTCCCACAAAGTTGGGAGCATGGAATTGTCCAAAATGTCTTGGGATGCTGAAGCATTCAGAGTTCCTTTCACTGGAACTAAGGGGCCAAGCCCAGCTCCTGAAAAACAACCCCACACCATAATCCCCCCTCCAACAAACTTTACACTTGGCACAATGCAGTCAGACAAGTACCGTTCTCCTGGCAACCGCCAAACCCAGACCCGTCCATCAGATTGCCAGATGGAGAAGCGCGATTCGTCACTCCAGAGAACGCGTCTCCACTGCTCTAGAGTCCAGTGGCGGCGTGCTTTACACCACCGCATCCGACGCTTTGCATTGCACTTGGTGATGTATGGCTTGGATGCAGCTGCTCGACCATGGAAACCCATTCCATGAAGCTCTCTGCGCACTGTTCTTGAGCTAATCTGAAGGCCACATGAAGTTTGGAGGTCTGTAGTGATTGACTCTGCAGAAAGTTGGCGACCTCTTCGCACTATGCGCGTCAGCATCCGCTGACCCCGCTCCGTCAGTTTACGTGGCCTACCACTTCGTGGCTGAGTTGCTGTCGTTCCCAAACACTTCCATTTTCTTATAATACAGCTGACAGTTGACTGTGGAATATTTAGGAGCGAGGAAATTTCACGACTGGATTTGTTGCACAGGTGGCATCCTATCACAGTTCCACGCTGGAATTCACTGAGCTCCTGAGAGCGACCCATTCTTTCACAAATGTTTGTAAAAACAGTCTGCATGCCTAGGTGCTTGAATTTATACACCTGTGGCCATGGAAGTGATTGGAACACCTGATTCCAATAATTTGGATGGGTGAGCAAATACTTTTGGCAATATAGTGTATGTAAAAAGAACAGCACAACCAATGGATATATAGTATAAGAGATACAATAAAGTAGCACTTTGATACTATCGCTTTAGTATAAGTAGTATGATCTAATGTGACATATATACTGTGGTAGCTGAAGATAAGAGATGTCTACCTGGTTTCTAGACCAGATGACGTCTGGAGAGTTAATGAATCCGTCCGAAAACGTCCGATAGAACATGATTGTTCAATTCATAACACTTCATCTGTTTTTAAATGAATTTGATATATGGTCTTTTAAGAAGGTTCAGAAACCTTAATACATCTTTCATCCATCCTCTAGGCCATTGCCTCCTTAGTAGCCTTAATTGTATGTGTAGTTCTTTATTTTGATTAAGGTATGTTGTTGTTCATGTAAAGCACTTCTGTCAGGTCTAACACCTAAAACACTGTAAAACAAGGAAAGAAAGGCACAGAGTCAGAATTATTTTTACTCGTGAGGAGAGTAGGAAGAGACGTGCAGGTAGATCCCCCCCCACTCTGCCGGTCTTCCGCTTTCTCCTTGCTATTTATTAAAGTCAGAGGGGAGGTCCCTAGTTACACAAGCTGAGGTTGCGCTAAAGGAATAGGAAACAAGAAATACAATTCAATTTGCAGCCTCAGTGAACAGGTCAATTTGCATTTAAATGTCTTGCTGCCAAATGGTCCGAGAACCACCTGGTTTCGTTAAGCTTGAGCAATACTTCCTGCGAGTTGACCTATACTGCTTGTGCAACACCTCTCTGGAACAGTAATATGTCACACATTATACATCATAAGAACAAACATTAACTATCTTATACATAATTATTCCAACAACTTCACTTTGCTTTGCAGCCAAAGTTTAAAAAAACGAAGAAAGATGAAATTAAAGTCCAGGCATTCGGGGTCACATCACAGGAACGGAAAAAGCGAGGACGACAAAACGGAAGACAGCGAGGATGAAGGCAAGCCAGAAGACAAAAAGCCTGCCAAACTCTTGGCTCCGGGCTCCCTGATGACCCAGATCTCCTCCACAGACAACACTCCTCCAGAGACAAAGGAAAGCTGTCCAGTAACAATGGAAACCATCCAAATAGACGACGACCAAACGGATGACAGTGAAGATGAAAGGCTCCGAGATAATCCAACGCTCTCCAGGCTGTCATTTATGAACACGCAGATTTCTGCTTACGCTTCAAAGGAAACTACTACTAAGGTGCAGAAGACACTTCCAGATGCAAAGGCGAGCACCCAGGTGGATGATGACGAAACGGAGGACAGCGAGGATTACAATGACCATGAGAGCGTAGATTCTTCTCAGCTGAACTCTACCATGTGGGATAACGAGGCGAGGAAAAACATAGTCAAAGAAAAGCCACGCGTGTCAGGTAAGGAGGAAGTCAAACCTCCAGAAGCAAAGAGAAAGCCAAATATCGAAGAGGTAGAGATTTTGGACAGTGAGGAAGGAGGTGATGATAGTGAAGCAGAGTCCAGCAGACGCTCGTCGCTGCAGTCTCAAATACCAGATCAGGATGTAAAGCAGAACTCCACCACAGAAAACATGAACGTGAAGCAAAATAAGATAAATCCGGAAGCCGTGAAGACAAACGCCCCGATAGAGCAGGTGGAAATCGGCGACGCTGACGGTGATAATGAAGACTCGTCAAAGTCGGATACGGTGAAAGAGAAGAAGGAGCAAACCTGCAGAGTGTGCAGCTTGATCCTCCTGTCCAAGCGCCTTCTGATTAGACACGCGTGGAAGCATTTGAACCACAAGGACCAGCTCTGTGGAGTGTGTGGAATGCAGCTGGACTCTGCAGTAGAGCTACAGATGCACCTCCAGAAATACCAGAAAACTCACAACTGCAAGATCTGCTGCAAGCGTTTCATCTCCAAAGACGGCTACAGGAAACACATGAGACGGCACACAGGTAAGGGACGGGATATCAAGAAACACGCCGTGAAGTTTTCTCTCAATAGGGTGTCTATGTGAAGGGGGAACTGTTGAGTGGGGTTGGTCAGAAATGACAGGAAACATTAGATAAACAAGATTTTCACTTCAAACAGTCCTGCGCCTGAATTATTGTGCAATATATCCATGAATGGATACATCAAGAAAAAGCTTCCAAATAATAAAAAAACAACAACATTCCACTGGACTTTGCTTCCAAGTTTGAAGATTTTTCGCTTCCCATCCCTCTAACGACCCCCTTTCAGGGACATAGACCAGTATCGGGTATACCAAGTTTACAAAGAAGCCAAACGACCCCCATTCCTAAGGGGCGGTTCGTCCGGTTCAATTTGCATCGTTTCTAAGCCAAAACTAGGCTTTTGTCTTTGGTCCACTCTATAACGCCTAGAACTCAACGCTATTTCTGACATTTTGTGTGGAAAAGCTTCCTGGACGGGAAGCGAAATGTCTTGAAACTTGGTAACAAAGTCCAGTGGATTGTCTTTTAACTTGTTTGGAATCACTATGACCTGGATGACTGAATCTCCACCAGCATATTAAGACAACGCAGAATGGCATAGATTTATTTCGCATACTTCAGAACTTGTATATTAAATACTCAAAGAGTTTAAGGCTCTATGAATGATGAATATTTTTCTAACCTTACAAACAAGAATAGCCCAATAGAGAATGTTCCCGTTCACTCTTGGTCCACTTTAGGTCGGCCATCCCAGCAGGAGGACACAGACCTCATTACTCTTGTGCTCTGACCCCTCCTTGTATGGAGAAGTTCGGTCAACAAGGAATGATCAATCGACATTATTTATACCTAAAACGAATATATTCCCAGTGATTTAATGAACTTAGCGTTAATCAGTAAAAAAAGGAAAACAATTTTTGTTGCGATCAATGAGTCTGGGAGCGGCAATTTTTTCCCATAGTAACTCCTCCCTCCTGCCATCTTCCAGCAGTGACGTCACGGTGCGGTAAGCCTAGCGCCATTCTCCCCGCTTTACAAGCTAAATCAATGGGAACTACTAGACACATCTGCAATCAACAACAATTATTGAAGATTTCCAGAGGACTTCACCATTGAAAGAGCTATAGTGAAACTGACAATGCCCACTTGCATGGCAATTGGATGTTGGAATACATCGGGTAAAAATGAAAAAAAAAGAGTTATTCCACCTTTCTGATTCCTGATCCTCCACGGACGGGTTCGTTGTTGGATTGCCAACTTGAAGAGGGAGGATTTGCCATCGAACTTCTGGCCAGAGAAAAAACACGTAATATGTAGCCAACATTTGGAAGAAGAATGTTTTCAAGATGACTTGGATAATAGCGCATTGTGACAAACACCAGATACAGCACTGGGACTTGATCAACAGCCAATACCGCACCGTGACGTCACAAACCAGTAGGTGGCAGTAGTTTTCTTTGACAAACATGGATGCCTCCAGTAAAGCACATTCAAATGGAAATTACCCTTCATTAAAAGACATATTATTTATTAAACAATATTGCATAATTTTATTATTTAAAATAATTTCAGAAGTTTGTCTTCTGAATATGACTGGGCTTTTCCTTTAAAACATTAGACCAAAACGATCTAAGGTTACCCGGCTGACTCGGATAACATTCATAATTTGGCCACTCTGGTAGATTTCATGTAGCCTGGGAGCCATTCCGAACTTAGTCCCGCCCACAACGTTTGAGGTCTGGCATTGCTCAATAGTAGCGTGAGTATGCTCGCACAATATCTGGCGGGCCAATCAAATTGTCAGGGCGGGCTTTATACGATGATGGACAGATGATCAACAGTAATGTGATCAACCACGTCACCAAAGCGCGCTTGGGTGACAACAACAATGGCTGCCGCTGGAGAGTTGAGGTGTGTAGATTCTGCTATCGACAGCAAATAAATTTTAAAAGAGGAACAGAGAAACCCGGTCAAGGCTCATCTTCTTATCCTAGGCGTGCAACTGCACGCTTTGATTTTTGTTGACAACAACTATGCGTCGCTTAACATACGTCATGCACTTCGTTGCTCTTATTGGTTGTAGGTCTATCCAATTGGGTGCAGAGGCATTTTTTTTCCTGGTTCGTTCGAAACACGCCCCATAATCACAGCTCTATGGAGCAGTATCAGACTCATATTCTGACTAGAATATATGAGTAGGACTACGTCAGGCTAGATTTCATGTCCAATAAACCGAAATATTAGTCTTGCTATGATCAGGGTAACAAAATGGAAGGAAAAAAAAACCTAGAGCACAGCGGCTAAAATCTGTTATGACATCGTAGAATAAAATCAACTATATCGTCATTACACTGTCAAAAGTTCAAAGCAACAATATTATCTCTACATTTAACCCATTCCCTTGGGGAGCAGTGTAGGGTTAAGGGTCTTTGCTCAGGGACCCAGAGTGGAGTCAAAGGGGATGGAACTGGTACTTGCAACTGCTAGGCCAACACTCCCCTGAAGGGTGGTGTCACTTGAAAAGACATTAAATGGAGAATAAAGGCATCAATCCGGCTGCCTCTACACGCTAAGCAAGTGCTCTACCATTTGAGCTAATTCCCCACATGCATAGAATCGTGGGATAAATATTCAACACCTCTAAAAATAAGAATGTGAAAACCTGAAGTTTGTTGGAAACATTTTGTTTTTAGTAAACGACTGCCAGAGTGAACGGCCGGAGCCCACGCAGAAGTAACCACAACCCGAAGACCCGGAGTCCATCCTGGGGTCCATCTTGGAGTCCATCCTGGGGTCCATCTTGGAGTCCATCCTGGGGTCCATCTTGGAGTCCGTCCTGGGGTCCATCTTGGAGTCCATCCTGGGGTCCATCCTGGGGTCCATCTTGGAGTCCATCTTGGAGTCCATCTTGGAGTCCATCCTGGAGTCCATCCTGGGGTCCATGTTGGAGTCGATGTTGGAATCCATCCTGGAGTCCATCTTAGGGTCTATCTTGGAGTCCATCCTGGTGTCCATCTTAGGGTCTATCTTGGAGTCCATCCTGGAGTCCATCTTAGGGTCTATCTTGGAGTCCATCCTGGAGTCCATCTTAGGGTCTATCTTGGAGTCCATCCTGGAGTCCATCTTAGGGTCTATCTTGGAATCCATCCTGGAGTCCATCTTAGGGTCTATCTTGGAGTCCATCCTGGAGTCCATCTTAGGGTCTATCTTGGAGTCCATCCTGGTGTCCATCTTGGAGTCCATCCTGGTGTCCATCTTGGAGTCTGTCCTGGGGTCCATCTTGGAGTCCGTCCTGGAGTCCAACCTGGGGTCCGTCCTGGAGTCTATATTGGGGTCAATTCTCGTTATGAAGAAGTTTAGTGCTGCTGTTGCTGGTGTTATTTTTGTTTGTTTGTTTTTTTGTTATGTGACTGAATGACCCTTTATAGTGTTTCTAAGTTATGTTAAAAGACTTTCACGATTACATTCAGCTCTTGTTCTGTCAGAATGTCTATAGAGAATATTTTTTTAGACACAAGAAGGAATTTTAACGTGTCTTTAAAGCGGTGACGGTAATTTTTCTCAGGTTCCAAAGTTACCCTCTGCTGTATGTGACTGATTGATTAATTTTATTATTCCTTTTATGGCGCATATTTTATCAGTTTATTAAAAAGAAAAATAACTATTTTTGTCATTTTTTTCTGATGCTATATAGGACATCTTTGAGAAAAGAAAATGGTTTAAATCTGATGGGACATCGTTTCTGTCGGGAAGGAAAAAAGCCAGGGTTAATTCAAACTTCTAAACCCAGCTTGGATCCTACTTCTAGGAAACAAAAAGAGTTTTTGCTCCAGGTTTGAACTGCTCCAGATCTGTGTTTCTAGATTATATATCACAGACTGGAAGGCTTTGGTTCTGCTTCAGCTCTATGGGGTCTTTTTTTCTACTTCCCAGGTTATATTAAAGAAAGATAAAACTATTAGCTCAAATTTTACACATTGTTAAGTTTCCCCAACCTTAACCTATAAAAAATGGAAACAAAGACAGTGTAAGATTTTTCCTGAAATGCTTAGCGAAGGAGAGTCCAGAGTTGAACAGTCAACCTCTGCATCTCCGCTTGGCTCAACACTTGCCAGGCTTTTTATTGAGCAGTCAACATATTACAACAGCAGGCGTTAGTTTCGATTACGCAGTCTCTTTGACATCGCATGAACTTTTAAGATAGGGAACTTGTCTGGTTTCAGTATACGCTTTACAAAAGGTGTCGGAGTTATGACTTTTCATTTCTCTGCTTCTCAAATGAAAAACAGGAAATCATTCTTGCAAAACATTTGACTGTCTTATGACCTTCATACACTATTTCCAATGATGAGTAACATATAGAAAAACAAATTATTGAGAGTTAAATGATAAAAAACAGAAATCATAATAACTCAAACACACATTAATAGCCAAAAGCAGAAAAGCAATAACATTTCATTTAACTTACTCCCATTTTTATTGGGCTTGGTTGGTACTTGGATGAGCAGGAATTTATTGTTAGATCTCTTTCTTAGTTTCTCTGTGGAGCTCTTAGCTTCAGTTGAAGGAGTCATCATGAGGGCCTGATCAACCAATCAGAGACAACATTGAGAAAATGTCCAAAAAACATCCAAAACCAATAATATAATAAAGCTAAACTCATTCTTACATCGACTCATTGACTCTTCAGCAATCCCTCACACTAAGCATGCTTGTAGCGACAGTGGAGAGGAAAAACTCCCTTTTAACAGGAAGAAAACCTCCAGCAGAACCAGGCTCAGTGTGAGCGGCCATCTGCTGAGGCTGACTGGGGTTCAAGGAGACAGAAGCAGAGATACAAAAAGCAACTGCAAAAGGCAACACACAGCCAGGCAGACGAGCTCCGTCACAGTCAGAGAAACAGGACTACACTGGAAAAACAGGCCAAGCTCAAACATCTACAATATTATTTACAAACAATGTTAAACACAATATGGTAAGTGGTATTTTAATAAATAATATTAGTGACCACTTAATTGTATTTCTAAGCTAAGTGAATCCTGGGATAACCAAGGATAGAAAGGATACAGCGGACCCATCCTTCAAATCAGGCAAAAGGGAAGCATTTGTAGGCCGCATAATGAGGAGTCTTGGAATCCGACCAGCCCTTGGCGCCGCGCTATGACGTAATCGGCCTTCGAATCTGGCCTTCAGAGAACGCATCCCATGACTCGATGCAATCAGCTGGTTTTCCTCAGACCGGAAGCTTTGCACCAATCTGACTGTATTGTATGCTGCCCTCGCAATGGAGAAGTCGCCTTTGTGATGCTGCTCTGGTGATTTTTTGCATTCTGTCCACCAACACTACGAGAAGCTGTTTGGCAGAAAGATGACACCTGAGTTCTGTCCGCCCGCACGCTACACAGGTAAGAATGACATCAGCACTACCAGGCCAGAGGAAAAGAAGGAGGCTGCATCTGTGATCTCACTAAAACTCTTACGCTGCATCACAATAACCCCAGCTTTTAGTGAAAAAAATCAATTTTGTTACTACATATTCTTTATTTTTACAAAGCAAACAAAATAAAATGACAAGGAGGATTTATGCATTAAGTAAAAACAGTGTAAACTTGAGAACTTTATACATTAGAACATAAAGATGCTGCTTGAACATAGAATAAAAACATTTTTATTTACAGAATTCAACCAGATCTTTATGTTCTATATTAATATATAAAATTAGGTTTTACAGTTGACATTCTTCTGAGCCATTTTATTAATGTTTTATGCAGCTCACTTGGCTTTACATATTCCAGTCTGTAATGTTCATTATGTATTTTGTTCTGTCTCAGGTGAGCTGATCGGACTGCAGTACCTGTTTCAGCAGACTGGTCAGGCTCTGCAGGACATGAACCCCGACTCAGAGGAGACTGCTGGCTTCATTGAGGAGCACGATGAAGATGAGGGCTTCTCTGACCTCACAGATGACCCCACACTGACGGATTTGGAGGTTTCTACCAGCGCCTCCCTCAGCATATCTGAGTCTGGAGATACCTCAGATGTAACAATGGTCAGTAGCAGCTATGTGCTACTGTTGTGTATTTTTTATTACATCTAAAGCATCAGTTTGATTGTTGTTAAGGTTTAAATGGTAATTTTGTTTTCTGTGCTAAATATTGACAGGCTGTTGATGACCAGAACGTGACTGGATACCAGCAGGTAGACATGCTCGCTGACTACTTGGTGGGGCTTCGGGAGCAGACCTCCCTCTGTCTGACCAACCTCCAAGCGGGCCGCATCATGGAGCTCTGGCACTGGCTGGATGACGGGGAGAAGCAGCGGGCTGTGTCTGCAGCTCGCCACCAGGAGAGACTTTTAAGTTGACGCCTTCAATCGCCAAAGAGCCCTCCAAAACTCCTGGTGTTGAGAGCACAACGCGCTGCGTGCCAGGAGACGTAGGCCGTTTTTATTCGTCTTTCTGGTCTGCACCCAGCCCCGAAGAGGAAGGCAAAGGGGCAGAATCACAATGGTACCTAATTTTGAGGGACTATCGTAAAATCAGGCAGCTGGTTATTGGAAAAGCCAGAGATTCAGCAGGTGGAAGTGAACCACTCCACCCTGATCCAGTGGCACAATGGCAAGTAGAAGAAGCAGGAGCTGTCTGCGCTTCTTCAGGGAACTTCTGTATCAATAGATTTAACTGTGTCAGAAGAACCATTGTTGAACCCAAATGTGCTGCCTTCTATTCCTGTTCCAGTGCTGAACATCAGTATCAGCTGCCAGAGTGTACAGCTAGTCAGCCCAAACAAAGGCAGGCACTGTGTGGCATCTTCCCTAAAGTTGCCGCAAAAAGGCAGCCCTTTGCAGCATCAGCGGTTCTCCCGGCTCCAGCAGGCTGTGCACCCTTGGCTCCCCAGCCTTTGGCTCCTGGGATCCATCACCAGGCAGGACAACCTGTGGTTATATATCAGGTTATCCTGCCTGAACAAATGCAGGGAACCCCAAAAAAAGAGGCCATATAAAAGAACAGGCTAACAGAATTTAATTTTTTTATTGACATTGAACATCACAAACATTTCTGTGAATAAATGTAATGACTTTTATTGCCCAACAGTTTTTATTGAAAATAAAGCCAGTTTACACATCCTTAAAGCGTAATGATTGCAATATTTTTCTGAAAAAGATAAACATTCATTGTATTTAATGAATTAATGAATGACACTGTTAAACACACATAGATGGATAGATAGATGAGAATATACACTATATTGCCAAAAGTATTTGCTCACCTGCCTTGACTCACATATGAGCTTAAGTGACATCCCGTTCCTAATCCATAGGGTTCAATATGACGTCGGTCCACCCTTTGCAGCTAGAACAGCTTCAACTCTTCTGGGAAGGCTGTCCACAAGGTTTAGGAGTGTGTTTATGGGAATTTTTGACCATTCTTCCAGAAGCGCATTTGTGAGGTCGCACACTGATGTTGGACGAGAAGGCCTGGCTCTCAGTCTCCGCTCTAATTCATCCCAAAGGTGTTCTATCGGGTTGAGGTCAGGACTCTGTGCAGGCCAGTCAAGTTCATCCACACCAGACTCTGTCATCCATGTCTTTATGGACCTTGCTTTGTGCACTGGTGCACAGTCATGTTGGAAGAGGAAGGGGCCAGCTCCAAACTGTTCCCACAAAGTTGGGAGCATGGAATTGTCCAAAATGTCTTGGGATGCTGAAGCATTCAGAGTTCCTTTCACTGGAACTAAGGGGCCAAGCCCAGCTCCTGAAAAACAACCCCACACCATAATCCCCCCTCCACCAAACTTTACACTTGGCACAATGCAGTCAGACAAGTACCGTTCTCCTGGCAACCGCCAAACCCAGACCCGTCCATCAGATTGCCAGATGGAGAAGCGCGATTCGTCACTCCAGAGAACGCGTCTCCACTGCTCTAGAGTCCAGTGGCGGCGTGCTTTACACCACCGCATCCGACGCTTTGCATTGCACTTGGTGATGTATGGCTTGGATGCAGCTGCTCGACCATGGAAACCCATTCCATGAAGCTCTCTGCGCACTGTTCTTGAGCTAATCTGAAGGCCACATGAAGTTTGGAGGTCTGTAGTGATTGACTCTGCAGAAAGTTGGCGACCTCTTCGCACTATGCGCGTCAGCATCCGCTGACCCCGCTCCGTCAGTTTACGTGGCCTACCTCTTCGTGGCTGAGTTGCTGTCGTTCCCAAACACTTCCATTTTCTTATAATACAGCTGACAGTTGACTGTGGAATATTTAGGAGCGAGGAAATTTCACGACTGGATTTGTTGCACAGGTGGCATCCTATCACAGTTCCACGCTGGAATTCACTGAGCTCCTGAGAGCGACCCATTCTTTCACAAATGTTTGTAAAAACAGTCTGCATGCCTAGGTGCTTGAATTTATACACCTGTGGCCATGGAAGTGATTGGAACACCTGATTCCAATAATTTGGATGGGTGAGCAAATACTTTTGGCAATATAGTGTATATTTAATAATCCCAGAGGGAAATTACAGGTTTTTTAAAAATAAAAAATAGATATAGTTCTTTCAGATGGTAGGTCACCCTTCCAAATCCAGCCACGACTTCCTCTGGTTCTGGTCCTTCCTCAGGTATCTTCATAAGAAAGACGGGGAAACCACATACATTTATATAAGAAACTATATTAGAAATTATAAGAACAGGTAAGTAAATTATATAAATTAAATTTAAAAGTCTTTATTCAGAATTACAGATGTCTACGTCCCTGAAAGTATTCTGTATAAACACATATAGATTTATTCCACATTCAGTGTGAGCGGCCATCTGCTGAGGCCGACTGGGGTTCAAGGAGACAGAAGCAGAGATATCCAGCAAGTCACAGTCAGAGAAACAGGACCACACTGGAAAACAGGCCGATCTCCAACATCTATAAACAAAGGTGTTGATGGCAGCAGCACAGCTGATATTTCTCTCCAGGATGGAGTCACAGCCAAACAGGAACAGACCAGATGAGGCTACTATGAGAAAAAGCAGAGAGAGCAGAACGTTAGAGATTGAACTAACAGATTCTGCAGAGTGGGAGAATAGAGATAGAATGAAGCAGAATGATGAAATAGGGGTCCCTATGTCCTCCAGCAGTCTAAGCCTATAGCAGCATAACTATAGAGATAGCTCAGGATAACCTGAGCCACTCTAACTATAAGCTTTATCAAAAAGGAAAGTTTTAAGCCTAGCCTTAAAAGTAGACCGGGTGTCTGCCTCACGGACTAAAACTGGTAGTTGGTTCCACAGGAGAGGAGCATGATAACTAAAAGATCTGCCTCCCATTCTATTTTTAGAAATTCTAGGAACCACTAGTAAACCTGCAGATTGAGAGTGAAGTGCTCTGTTAGGAACATAAGGAACAATCAGATCTCTGATATCAGATGGAACTTGGCCATTTAAGGCTTTATATGTGAGAAGGAGGATTTTAAATTCTAGTCTTGAGTTAACAGGAAGCCAATGAAGAGAAGCCAGGATAGGAGAGATATGATCTCTCTTTTTCATTTTCATCAGAACTCTGGCTGCAGCATTTTGGATCAGCTGAAGGCTTTTAACTACGTAAAGAATTACAATAGTCCAGCTTTGAAGTAACAAATGCATGGACTACTTTCTCAGCATCACCCCTGGACAGGAGATTTCTAATTTTTGTAATGTTCCTCAGTTGAAAGAAGGAAATTCTAGAAACCTCTTTGATATGGGATTTAAATGACAGGTCCTGATCAAAAACAACACCAAGATTTTTTACTTTATTATCTGAAATCAATTTAATCCCATCCAAATGGAGTTACCAGCTAATCAGCTTTTTTTTTTAAAGACTTCTGTTTTGTCTGCATTCAGAAGGAGAAAGATAAGAGTCATCCAGGTTTTTATGTCTTCAGACATGCCTTTAATTCATGTAATGGGTTAGCTTCATCTGGATTTATAGACAGATATAGCTGGGTATCATTTATTAAAAATATTGATTTAAACGAACCCTAGAGGTTTACTATGGTGAACATGATACCCAGCTGTAGTGTAGTGCTGTTTGGCCACGGCTAGGTGGCGGTAACGCGCCTTCCTGTCAGTGTTTCACGCGCGAATTCCTTCCTCGCTCCGGAAGTAGATGCGTCAGACGGGCCGTGCTGAAGTTTTTGGATCGCGACAAAGGAGATAAATCATGTTCTACTGCAGCAGCAGCGGCTCTGATCCGCTCAGCGTCTCTAAAAGAGACATCCTGAGAGGAATCATCACCGAGAAGCTGAGCACCGCCGCCCGGGAGATCCTGGCCGTGGTGGAGAGGACCGTGGCCGACTACGAGGAGGAGGCTGCGGGCTTCAGGCAGGAGATCGACCGCCAGAGGAGACAGCTGGAGGTGCTGCAGCCGCAGGTGAAGCTACACCGAAGAGGTGAGTGTTAGGCTGGAGGAGCAGCTGTGATGCAGGAAGGTTAAAGCTGACCGGCTGGTCACGTGTTTGAAGAGTGGAAGCGCGGCAGAGCATGGGCGGTCCGAGACAGGGGGCCAGTGCCCCTGTACTCAAGACATAATCAGGCTCGGACTGGGAACGATTTTCTGCCCTGGCGTTTTTCCATCCACACAGGCCAACTTATGGAACCCCAACCCCCACCAAAAACAAACAAACAAACAAAAACATAGAAAATGCACATCTTGGATTAACCGATCTATCTTCACCCATCACAAAGACTTAAGACTCGTTGAAATAAAACGAGTCTTATTTCAATTGAAAAAGCATTTGTGAAAATGCCTTTTCATTTGAAATATGGTAACAATTTGCTTCCATAGATCTGCGCTGGAACAGACATGGCTACTGATTCGTCCTTTGGATCTATTTCACTTATCAAATTTAAAAACAAAAAGATTCTTCATAGTATTAAGATAGGATCCCAGTTTTTATCGACTAAATATATATATTTTTTTTTCAAAACAAAACTCAAATTTTTAAAGCTGAATTTATCTGTTTTTTTTTTTGTTTTCATTCTGATTTTATAGAAAACTGTCATTTTAACTTACATTAAGTTATAAATATGTACAATTTCTAAATCCTGAATGTATATTGAGCTGATATTCCAAATAATAGCTTTATTTCATCTTTCAGATATTTAAATAGCTGCAGGATTTTGATTTTTGATTTTAACGATGATCCAAATGAACATTTTCAGGCCAAAAATTAATATTTTCAGTTGGAAGACATAGAATTTGAATTAAACTTTATTGAATGGGAATTTCCCTTCATGCAGCTTTCTTAATATATGTCAATCCTTTGCTCTGTTTTAATGTTTCCTGCCTCTCTGTGCGCCCCCCCCTTCCTGGTACGTTTGGTCTAGAAGCGCCACTGCTGCAGAGCCATGAAGAAGAGGTGGTGGTTGGAGAGGATCCGGTGGAGCGGCAGCTCACCCACAACTCAGGTAGGACTCACCTTGAAGCTCAGCGTCAGGCTGATGTTTGGGCTCCATTGTTCTGCATCTCATGCTTCACAGCACAGAGACTGAAGCTGAGAACCGGTCCTTCTAGAACTGATGGACCCAAACATCCAACCTTCTCCTACCAGGTTCTGATTATAGTACCTTTTATGTTGGATATCTGAACAAAAAGACCAAACAATAAGGTAATACCGATAGGAAATATTCAGATAACAGTTTATCCATCACATACTGGAAAAAACAATCTAGAAATTAGAAAAATATTTGAGTAGTATGGAAGTAAATCTGTCGCTGGGATTTGATTTAAAAATGCCACTGAAATTTAAATGTTGTATGTTTGTACTCACTGTTTCCGTGTTAAAATATATTCAGAACACATTTTTGACCTAAAAAGAAGTTCATTGTCATTATTTCTACCCAGTTGAAATTTCATTTATTTTCTCTTCAAGCTAAAAATTCACATTACTATTTCAAAGTGATTACATTTTCAATACTTATTTTTAAGTGTTAAAGAACTCAGCATATAAAAAAATTCAAATTTTCAAAATTCAAACTCAATATTTTCAACCCCCTGAGATTCAACTGGCTCTATTTCACTGTCTTAAATTTGGCGTCTAAATTCAGTGTGAAAAGGGAAGGGTTACTTCAGGTCACAGACATTAGCAATGGATTGTGGCGTCCAACACCCAGCCAATCGCGTTACGTTTCCTTAGTCACGTGACGTGACGCTGGTGGAGCTCATTTGGAAGGAAAACCAGCATGACGGAGCCGGTCATTCAAGCTAACGCTAACTCAACGGTGAGTTTATTATTTTAATTTTTCTGTAGTTGAGTTAGCGTTAGCTTAGCTTAGCTTAGTTGAGTTAGCGTTAGCAGATTTTTTTAACACTGAAAAATTAAACTGAAAAATAAGTATTGAAAATGTAATCAGATAATGAACTCAAGCCTACATTACCGTGTTAACATGCTTTTCAATCCTTCCTGCACATTCTTTTCAAACTAAACTTTGCTTTAAACTGTTTTTTTGCTTGGAAAAATATAAATTGTAATGTTAAAAATCTAAAAAAAACTTGACAGGTTAAAAACTTAAGAAAAATGACAAGATGTCACAAATGAATAACTTTTATTTTAGAGTCACGGTATGTTGATACAAGATAATACTATTAATATATTGTGATTTTTCTAGAGAATCATTATACAGAGTTATTTTATTCAGGGTTTCCACAGTCTGACATCATTTCAGAATTCCCTGACTTTTAACTGACTCAGGATTAGTTTTCCCTGACAAAATAAATGCAGCAACAAGACAATAATAATAACATAACAGGTCACCAATCTAACATGTTTAGCTCTATAGCATTTAAATGCATCTCTCCAATGACTAAGAGAAAAAAAATAATGAACATTTTTTAATGTATGACCTGCATCACTGTACAGAAGACTGCCATATGATAGCGCTTTCTAGCTTGTTTGTCGTTTTGGTAACTACCTCAAAATTACCACTAGGTGGACAAAATGGCGGAAAACCACGCAGCTTTTTTAAAGCACGCGAGAATGTGTACAAAACAACAAAAATGGCGCCGGCAACGCTTCTGGGTCGTTTTCAGCGAATGTCTGTGATTTTAAATTAATTTTGAGTGAAAAATAAAAAAAATTTGTGATCATTTTTTGCTAAATTTGTACTCTCCCGACAATAAAAGCTACTTACCCCAGGGGATTGAGCGATGGTTAACATCGAGCCCTGACTTATTTTAAGGAAAAACGACTTATTTAGATTTTGATTTTTTGTAGTGCAACAATGAATAGAAGATTACATTAAACTCTTTAGTTGATAAATATAATTCTCTAATTATTCCCCCCTCAGTGTTTCCTTCTGGGCATTTTCTGAGCTTTTCAGAGTCCTGGACGCAGCCTAATCCCAGTTCCGCTGATCTGCTGTCCTTCTCTGCAGGCGTGGACGACCCCGGGGGTCTGGACTTCCTTTGGTACGACGACAACGACCCCGATGATGATGTTGAATCTGTGGTTCAGTTCACTCAGAGACCCAGGCGCAAACGGCAGAAACCCAAGGACCCAGATTATGAAATGACACCCAGGTAACTCCTCACTGATTAAACCACAGTTCTCTCTTAGATCTCTTAGATTTTGGTTAAATTCATTTACATTCTAGCAGCAACTTCTAGGATTCTATCAGAGTTCGCTTCTGATGGGAAAACTGGTTTAAGATCCCATTAAAGAAAATAGCAAATCAGGGACATAGATTAATTTATATGACATGTGTCGTCAACTGGAGCTTTAGAAATAAACCGAACTGAAATGACTAGAATTGAATCTGCAGATCACAGCATCATCAGGATTAATCTGTTTTTAGGATTAGTCTAAAATGAGATGCTTACTGTAAATTTAGAAATATAAAATATTTTGAACTTAGGAAAAAAAATCTTCCTCTTACTAATTTTAAGTTAATGATAAGCAACAGAACCATGGAACTATCAGTACATATACCTGTTTATTCAGTCATGAATAAAGATGATTTTATCTTTAATGTGAAATATTTGTAGAGTTTTGTCTTCATTGCTGCCGTAGGAAGGTCCTGTTTTAGACCATCAGTCCAAGTAATGATTTAATCTAATACTGTGATTAATCTGCTGAACGGTCTCAGCCCTGATCCACAGTGAACTCGCTTTCACCGTGCGTCTCGTTTCCATCCAGAGTCCAACCTGAGAAGAGACGACCCAGCAAACCTCTGATCAGCGACGGCCAGACTCACCTGGACTTCAAGGTGCGCCTCCTGGAGGACCCTCAGGTGGAGGTGCTCTCCAATAACGGTACGCTTCCTCCAGCTGTCTGTTTGGGTCAGAAGAAGAAAATCATTTAGGATCGACTATAATGGGTTCATGTGGATCCTGAAAAAGTCTTAAAAGGCGTAAATTCTTCAATATCAAACTAAGGCCTTAAAGCAGGGGTAACGAATAAAGAAAATCATCAACCAGTAAAGACTGGAGGCCTTTTTTATCATAATCTGTATTTTTAAACATCATTTAACACTGAAATAAAATGAGGTTTTTATGCATCCATGTTATACTTTGACTTTTTAAACAAAAAATATAAAAAATAGAAAATTTTTTCCATTTTAAAATCTAGTTTTTTTTAAGTAGAGAACAACAATCGTTCAGTTTGGTATATAGACAATTTCCTCATTCAGATATTTTATAAAACACCTCAGATGACCCTTTATTTTTATTGTTTTTATGCCTTTTTTCTGTCTTAATGTTGGCAGTGGGCTTTAGGCTGCCCTGCAAGGCTTTAAACCTGGGTTTGAATGGAGACTAAGCCATTCTAAAGCACATATCAAGGAGCTCATTTTGAGCCTGGATCCAGATTTATTGTTGATTCTGTTCATGGTGGAGAATCCTGCTTCACAGCAGCAGGTTGAGCCAAACGTCCTCTAAATGTTCAGGGTCATCTTTGAGTACCATTTCACTTTTCTTTCACCAGTTTTTCTCATCGTCTTCTCCTTCTTTCCCATCGCCCGGCTTGCCACAGGTTTGCCTGCTGTGTCTAAATGCAGCAGCAGCAACCCAGACTGACAGCTCATTGGCTCATTTGGATCACATGAAGCCTGGAGCCGGACGCTCCAGAGCTTCTGAGGACTTTCTTTTCTCCTCATACAATTTAAAGACACTTAAGACCCTCGGCCACTTTCAAAGAACCGCGGTGAGAAAGCTGAGCTTCAATGACTGTCTGAAGCCGTAGCTCAGCACAGATTTATGCCTGAAAGTGAGCAAGAGCAGAAAAAGATAACTAACATCACCAGAATGATTGACAGTTAGGAGGACCACTTATTTAGATGATCCACCTGAAAAAAAAAGATCCTCCTCTATACTTTTAATTGATATTAAAATGTCTTAAATCAGTCTTTCATATGTCTTAAACATTTAATGTCATAAATAGGATGTTATTTTTGTAATCCATATCAAACATTAATATAACTGACAATAATGTTTTTGCATTTACCGATCGACTCGGTGGAAGAATTATTAGCTCCTTCCCGATAGCAGAACCAATAAAAATGATGTTTTAGCCTGACATTGGGATGATGCACCGCTACGTTTTTATCTGGACAACATGGGGAAGTTTAAATTCCTGCAAACTGGCTGTCAAGCAAAGAGTTTTCTGCAACCAACAGTCCAGAAGTCGTAGCTTTAACCTAAACAAATAAATAGATGGAAACTGCATCATAATGCTAATACAAACAAACCAGGGAGAGTAAGTGAAGCAAAGTTGCAAACTAATGTTTAAATTTAATTATTATGAATCAAAAATAAAAATAACGGAAAAGTGGTGAACACAAACTGAACCACTTTGTCTCACAAAAATTTGGGTAAATTTTTTTCTACCCAGTTTTTCTTATGTTTATTGTAAAGGTGGTCTTAACTTTTTTTTACTTCAAGTGGCTTAAAAGGTCTTAAAGTCCTGAGTTTAACTTTCCTTATGCTGCATTATCCCTGATAAACCTGCAGACAGACAGACAGGCTCCTTCCATTGGGTTTGGTTGTCAGAACCCTCCTTTGGTCTGGATGGTTCAGTCTCCTGCAGGATAAACGGAGCTACAGAGACGCTGAATCACGTCTTTGTTTCTGTCGCAGTGTTTCAGAAGAGCCCCATGCGGGACATCAGCTGTCCTCGGGGTCTACAGGAGGCGGACTTCCTGAACCTGCTGAGGTCCACCTTCCCTCAGCTGGCTGCAGGAGAACCCTTTGACCTGTTCATGACGGACAGACAGAGGAGGCTGCTCCCTCTGATGGTCAGCAGTCTGAATGCAGAGGAGATCTACGTCACCATCAAATCCTGCGGACACTCTGCTCTCTACATCCGCCTCAAGGTTCGGCTTGGTTCTGATCATCTGGGTCTGTTGGACCTGCCTCATTTATCCTCTAACTACCACTTTAACCACAGGCAGAGGGAGGGGGCTCCATGTCGGCTGCTTTCTGGTTGCAGTTTGGAACTTTTGTCTCCTTTAAAACTTAAAGTCGTAGAAAAACAACTGTCCCACGGTCAAATTTCCGAATTCTCCCGAATGGTGCACGACTTTACACGAGTGAATAAAGTGAATGTGATTGGTTGATTATCAAGGGGCAGGGAGGATGTGGCTGAAGGTTTGCAAGCTTTTTGGTTGTGGCCGATGTCTTTGAAGCATTTTGCTAACCAGTTAGCATCTTAGTGCTAGCAGGTTCCCAATGGGAAATTCCATTGGGACCAAGTAGCACTAAATTGGTGACTTAGAAACGACACTGTCAAGGAACGCTATGGACAGAGGAAACATTAAGAGGAGGAGAGTTTAGTGTCGGAGGTCGTGGATGAGTCTCCTCCGTCATCCATTTTTTATTTAGAGGAGGAAAGCGGGGATGAAGATGTTGTGGAAGAGGACGCCAGGGCGGCAGAAGCTTGGTTTGGTGTAGAAGGCTTCCAGCCGTACATGTTTGAGCCCTTGCCTCGCAACGCTGCCAGTTCTGTTAGCTCACACTCACTTTATTCACTCGTGTAAAGTCGTGCATCACTCGGGAGAATTCAAACCTTCCATTTCTGGGTCTTAAAGCACATTTATTTGAATCATATATGTATACCGTCCTACGCCGTGTGTGTTTGAGGAGTTTCTCTTGTGTGACCATGTGCAGACGGCGGTCTACCCTCAGAGCAGCAGCGATGGGGTCTTGCCTCAGCCAGTAGAGGAGGGGCCGAGCGTGAGCTCTGCCACGCCTTCATCGGACCAAGATGAGCAGAGCATGAGGTGATGAGGATCAGCAGGTCAGCTTCCCTCCATTGCATGGCTGCTTCATGATGTGTTCGTACCCCACCTGTCTCCCTCAGGTTATCGTCGCCCGGCGATCAGACTCAGAAGCGGCGGCGGGGTAGACCTCGACACGGTGAAGAACCAACCCACCACTTTCTCAGAATCTGCGTTCTGGAGAACCCTCAGTTAGAGGCTCCCGCAGAGACCGGTTCGTATAAAACTCTTCCTCATTTCCCGGTAGATTAACGTTCCGCTACTGAGGACCTTCTGTGTTTCAGAGCTCCACACGTCATCGGTGCGGGAGCTGAAATGTCCCCGAGGTCTGCAGGAGGCCGACTTTCTAGAGCTGCTGAGGGTCACCTTCCCTCAGCTCGTCGGAGACGATAAAAAAATCTGCATATACAAGTCTGACCGCAGCAGGAAGCTTCAGAAGCTCAGAGTGAACACCATAACCCCCGAGGATATCTACAGGACCATGAAGTCCACGGGGGTCAAGAAGCATCTCCTCTACATTAAACTGAAGGTATGAATGCCATAGAAAGCCCTAAACATCATCTCCTGCTGCAGCAGTTTAATCAGAAACTATAAAACCTTTGATTCAAATGAATGCCTCGATTGAAAGAAAACATCAAGGCCATCAGACAATTGTGTTGTTAATCTACATAACTACTTCTGCTTTGCTGTTGAACAACTCTTACGCTGCATCTGCATGAAGTAGAATTTCATGTGAATGGTTTATTTGTGTTGAATAAATAATTTCTTTGTTGGTTTGATCAACACAGGTTATGACCCATTTTCAGGTGTGTGAATGAAACCACGGCTCTTCGCTGTAAAAGGTGCAGCCTTTGTCTTTCAGGGTGACCAATGAGCTCTCAGCTTTTGCTCTGACCCTCAGGTCATGAGTTGTAGTTGGAGACCAAGAGGGTTAGAAATAAGCTTCTGCACAAGAATGGGGTAGTGATCAATCTCTGAGTCACAGATTAGCTTTGATGAAGCTGTAGATGCTCCGTGTGGCGTTTTTATCTCAAATCAAAGTTAATTCATATAGCACTTTATAACAACACCAGGATACGGAAGAGGATTAGGGCCACTGAAAAAAAAAGAGTTAACTTATTTTTTTATTTTCATTTAAGTTTAACATGGGGAAAAAGTCAGAATTCTGACTTTAATCTCAGAATTCTGACTTTTTTCTCAGAATTCTGACTTTGTTTTAGTCGGAATTCAGTCAGAATTCTGAGATTAAAGTCAGAATTCTGAGGAAAAAGTCAGAATTCTGAGAAAAAAGTCAGAATTCTGACTTTTTTCCCCATTTTAAACTGAAATAAATTTTAAAAATCAGTTTACTTTTTTTTTTTTTTTTCCAGTGGCCCTAATCCTCTTCCGTACCAGGAAGACCAAAGTGCTTCACAGAAAGATAAAAGAAGAAAAAAAAGAAAAAGAAAAAAAAAACATACTAAAATCATAAGCATAAAACAATGTGTCCTAAGTATTAAAAGCCAGTTTAAAAAAAAAAGTCTTTAATCTGGAGTTTAAAAAGTGCAGATCAGTGGGAACCCGCAGACAGAGGCGCAGATTGTTCCACATTTTAGCTGCGGTAAAGACAAAGGAACGATCGCCTGACTGTTTATACTGGGACCTAGGTCAGCAGGGGTGATGTACCTTCAACATTCAGTTAAATATAGCGGAGCGAGACAATGAAGGGCCACTGAGAAGGGAAGAACAAGAAAAAAGAGACGACACACCCAGAGTTCGCTCTAGAAACTGATTTCCCTTCCTACGGCTGATTTATGCTCAGAAACCAGGTGGTCTGCGTGTGTGTCACAGTTAAAGCAGATATGCCCCCCCCTTTCCGCACACCCTCTGCTGCACCTCTCCAAAATTGTAGGTGTCTGCAGACAGTGCCACAGACAGGAGGCCTGTCTACATCAAATCTATATCCTCGTATTTCCTGTTTGGTTCCTTACCGGCTTGTTTTGTTTCTATGCTGCCATTTTGTAAAACGACTCGTGAAGATGGACCAGCTAGAAGAGCGAGGTGCGCGAGACCATATTTCCACCTGGATCCCCGCTCTTTTTCGCCCTCATGTCCCTCCGTCGTCGCACAAACCTGCCCCCACTATCTCACCGCCTCGGCCGTATCTAGACCCACAGCCAGTTCCTGATTGTCCCTCTTGCGTTGTGGCGTGGAATAAACATATCCCAGAGTGCGCTTTAGTATTGGGCATAAATCTAAAATATCTGCGTCATACCTGTGACACACTGCTGCAGGAGGATAGCCATCCCTTCAGTCACGAAAACACCTTTGAAACCACCAGAAAGATCTGAAAGGTGTTCCTGTGGTGAGGCATGATGGGGGGGTGGGTTACTCTCACAACCCAAAGGCAATGGACTCATGAAGCTTAGAGCCATATCTAACCAGGCTTCAAGGTCAAAGGTGTTTTGCTCGCTGCCAGCTTTGGCGGTATTGTTGTTATGATGATCTGAATGCTCCTTTTCTCATGTTGCGTAAACCACTCCCCTATCTCTGGGACCTTTAGGATCATAAAGCACTGAAAATCAAAGGTCCTACCAGATATTCTCTATGTTCACATATTAACCAAAGAGTTATGGACTAAAAACATTGAGGTGGACTAATGTGGACTGTTCCATTTGCCGTCCATGTTGGACAATCTGTTGGACAAGCTCCCTGATCCTTTGGTTGGTTGTTGCTTGATTAAATAACAAGAGGTTTGGGTGGATCGATCAAGACTAAAAAAGGAAAGTTCTTTAATTGATCTCATGGCCTTGTATGTAAGCCATTTCTGTTTTTTTACAGACAGGTGAAGAGGATGACAGTGAGAATGAAGAGAACCTTCAGCTGGTTAAAGACGAACCTCAGCTGACCACCTGTGGAGTAATGGAGGATGAAAGCGCTCCACTTCAAAGGTAGTTTCTTCTCATCGGAACCTAGCCGGCACAACGGGCATAGTGAGAGATTCTGACTTGTTGCTCGTTTTCAGCCCAGAGTATCAGAGCGGCGGCTCCACGCATGAAGACGACGAGGCAGGTGAGAGGAATGCCAGGGCTGACGAGGAGTGGAAGCCAAGTCCTGAGGAGGCTGAAGATCTGGAGGATCTTGAAGATCCAAAGCCCAGAGAAGCCATTAAGCAAGGCCCCAGACGATTGGGAGAGAAGGGAGACGGGAGTAAGGCCTCCTGCCGGGTGTGTGGCGTGTTTTACCGGACATTGTCGAACTTTGCCAGGCATGCCTGGTCTCACGTAGACGACCCCCAGAGCGTGTGCGGGGTGTGCGGAGAAAAGTTCGACTCTTCAGAAGACCTAAAAGGACATCTTAGAACTCACCAGCAAACATACGATTGTTCGTACTGCGGGAAGGCCTTTGTCACCACCACAGGGCTCAAGAACCACGTCACTCTGCACACGGGAGAACGGCAGTATAAGTGTGACATTTGCAACAAATCCTTCTCCTACAAATCCGCCATGAGAAGCCACCGCTGGGTCCACGTGGAAGACAGACCTCACAAGTGTGACATTTGTCCAAAGTCCTTCGGTCTCAAAGGGCACCTCGTAGCTCACAAGAAATGTCACGTCGGCCGGGACCAGTACCTCTGCAACATCTGCGGAAGGTCCGTTTTCGACCTGCGGTCTCTGACTCGTCACAAACTGACTCATTCCACAGAGCGCCGCCACGGCTGCAAAGTCTGCGGGAAGCGCTTCAAGCTGGAGGGAACCCTGAAGGCGCACGAGAAGGTCCACACCGTCAGGGACCGCATGTACCTGTGCCACGTCTGCTGCAAAGCCTTCCTGTCCAACAGCACCCTGATGGCTCACATGAAGACCCACAGCGACGAGCGGCCGTTCGTCTGCCCCGTCTGCAGCAGAAGCTTCCTCACCAAATGGGACCTCAGGAAACACATGCGCATTCACACTGGCGAGGCGCCCTACGGCTGCACCAGGTGCGGACGCCACTTCAAACTCAAGAGCACCCTGAACGTCCATATCCGGAGCCACCTGGGCATCAAGCGCTTCACCTGCGGGGTTTGCGGCAAAGCTTGTTCTCGACAGGAACACCTGACCGTCCACATGAGAACCCACAACGGAGAGAGACCCTACAAGTGTTCCCTCTGTGACAAAGCCTTCACCCAGAGCCACTGCTTGAAAACACACATGAAGAGCCACCATCCAGAGGAAACTCTTGTACCTGAACCTTCAACTTCCTTCCTTCAGCCACCGGACACCGTGTGAATAACTTTGTTCTTTAGTCGTCTATTTTAGCTTTGCAAAGTCTTTGTCAGAACTGCAGTACATGGACCTGAGGTTTGACCAAACAGGGATGTGCGTGGCGCCATAACGTAGGTGAATGTTTATTTAATCCAGTGCTGTTATCAGTGCATTGTGTTTGCGCTTCGGAGAAGATGGTGTCCTTCCCTGGCACTCACTGGGTAAAGGTTCCGGTTCAACATGGACGATCTAACAGTAGAAAAACATTGTAGGAGAAGAAGTGTCCGATCCAGATTTCAAATGCCTCAATCATTTCTAGCCTGTTTCTCCAACTTCTGTCATTGAGTATCAACCATACCGAGGTTAACCAGCTTTACCGACACCAAACTGTCTCTTTTGGACACCATTAAAAATGTCTTCAGACCAGAACCACGTGATTGTTTTCTGCTAAAGTGGCTAATCTGTGCTAGCTCAACAGTCTTCAGCGTGGAAGTTGAGTTTTTTGGGTAAACCTGTGCTGCATTCAGTGACAAAAATATACAGACAAGGTGTTCATAATGATAATAATTGAACTATTTTGATCTCACACTGGAGAAACTCATTTTCTGCATTTAACTCATCCCTTTGGGGAGACGTGGGCTGCCACTGTGCAGCCTGCAAGTAGCAGTGTGGGGTTAAGGGTCTTGCTCATGGCTCAGCATAGCCGCAGTCAATACGCATGCGGAAGACGTCAGATTTACATTTATCCCCTGTTAAGTTTTTTGTCTATTTTTCGGCGGGGTATGAAATGTCGACTGCTGGACCGGACCTCAGCAGAGAGCCATGAGCCGCCCGTCCTCAGCTGGAGGAAGGGGGCTGGGGACCGGTGAGGCAGGTGCGCAGTCGACCAAATTCCCCTCGGATATTTTTTTAGGTTTGAAAAGCAGGACATGTCCGGGAAAAAGAGAATGTCTGGTCACCATAATTTAAGGTCAGGTCACCATATGCTTCAAAAACACCAAAAACTAAGTAGTTAAGAGTTTTTTTTTGTACATGACACCTGTTTAGGTAGTTTAAAATGTATTTTTTCGTACAAAACTAAAGGGATAAAATGGTATTGACCATTAGTATGCTGGTCTAATGGGGTATGCTCACCTGACAGAACAGCGGGTACTTCAAACGGCACGGCTGCTGGAAAGAAATCAGTTTTATACGAAGGGATCTGGGCTCCTGAACAGTGGAACAGGAAGTCTGAGTCGCTGCTGTCCAGGCTTTTCAGATAAAGGAGATTCATTGAACCAGAAATGTTGGCAGCCATCTATAATAAACACGCTGATAGCCGTTTAGACTGCGATGCTGCCTGCACTGTTTTGAAGGCAAAAAAAAAAAAAGATCACCTCTAAGACTTGTAAATAAACCCTGTTCTACCACAGACCTGTGTTTACGACTCGTCTCTCACACAGTGTGACGTCACCTCTGCTCCTGATGGAAATGTGGTCGAGGGTCTTTTCTAACCAACAGAAACACTGATGCTACGTTCACACCACATGTGATTTCAGCACCAAAAGAAAACGCCTGCTGCTTCATTTGTTATGCTTGTCCACATTAGAGACTGACATTTTTTCGGGAATCCCAAGGGTCACGGGATTCCCGTGGGATGGGAGTCAGTATTAGTAACGATCACGTGATTGGGACGGTACAGGATTAACCATTAACGGGAGCAGACGGGAGCGGGAGCAAACCAATAGTAACTAAAAAAAAACTAGGATCGATGCCAAAAAATTAAATAAAATAGAAAGAAAAAAAAAACAGTACCTGGCGCCGCCATTTTTGTAGTTTTTTTCCTTGAAGCCTACACTATAATGCGAGTCAAAAAAAACTACACGACCCAAAAACCAACAGTGTTCCGCTCTGAGTTTTTCACCCGCGCTCAAAAACAACAATGGGAGTGGTGCAGGAACGGGAGTCATTCTGAATGGGAGCGGGAGTAATTTCACCAGGAGTGGGACGGGACAGGATTTAGATTTCTACTCTGGCCCGGGATCGGGACGGGACACAACCTTTTTTTGTGGGAGTGGGACGGGACAGGAGTGAAAATCCACTCCCGTGTCAGTCTCTAGTCCACATTAAGGTCAGATTCGCCTTAAGAGCATCTTTGATGCCCCTGAAACGCGTCCAGTAAAGTGTGAAGAGATGCGTCTGATTTTGCTGCTCCTGTGTCCAGTGGCAGAAAGCAGATTTGCTATATTTCAATTCAGAAATACTTAGCAGGGCTTGATGTTAACGATCGCCCGGGGCAAGTAGTTTTTATTGTCAGGAGAGTTCAAATTTCATTGCATTTGCCCGCCGGGCAAGTGCAATGATTGCCAAAAAAATTATCACTCAAAGTTACTTTAAAATCACCGACATTCTCTGAAAATTACCCACAAGCGTTGCCGGCGCCATCTTTGTTGTTTTGTACACATTCTCGCGTGATTTGAAAAAACACGTGATTTTCTGCTAAATGGCGTGATTCAGCTCTTGGGGAGAGAATTCTGCAGAGCAGCAGCTGGATGATGAATTTAATCTATACTATAATACACGCTAGATTAAAAATGATCAGTCAGGGATTAGGAAAATAATAATTGTATGCGCTAGGGGTGGAACGGTTCACAAAATCCACGGTTCGGTTCGATTCACGGTTTCGTGGTCATGGTTTTCGGTTCGATACATGTTGATTGTTACACCAAAATCCCATAAAAATTTTTTGAAATTAATGAAAAAATCCCCCAAAAAATAATGAATTGTAATTATTTTAAATGATCCGTGGAAACCCTGGATCATTTCCACATGTTTTGCTGCTTTGAATTTAATCATCTCGCGCATGCTCTCTACCATCTCCAAGGGACTCAGAGGGGAGCGGACGGAGGGAGCCACAGTGGCGGCTGTAGGCTTTGCTTTGAGCAGGCGGTCTGGAGCGCAGCGGGGCGGAGCGCTGACGGAGTATGTGGGATTTCGGGGTTAGCGTGACATGTTGGTCGTGTTGCTGTTAGCATAAACAAAACGTGTTGCACAATGCTCGCACACTGTTGCACTTTTATCCACAACTTTCTTTCTGCCGTTATCGTACTGAACTTAATTAATCCCAAAGGGAAATTAAATGTTGCAGTAAGTCGTTATTTTAAACAGGTGTTGTTGGTATTGATAGATGTAGGCAAGAAGGATCTTCTTGTCTTTTAAAAATCGTCTGAAGAGGACGTTTACTGTTGTTACTTTCTTCAGTTTATGAAGAATTCCTTCCGAAATCTCCAGAGGTGTGATAAGTGGGATATATATATTTATATTTTTTTATGTTATACTGTGCCGTCACTGAGAATCCCCAGCAGCAGCTGCCTCTGGCCGGGTCGCCTCTTGGTCGCTGCTGTAAGAGGATGTTGGTGTTTTTCAGGTATGTGGTACCACCTGCAGGCACCCTAGTAATAAAATCAAACATATTTTGCAGACAGGTTTTTAATTTAGCCATCAATAAACTGTTTTAGAGGAGTGATCATAGCGATCTGCATCAGCAGAGCTGCGTCTGTCTCCCTGCCAGCTCCCAGATCAGCTTCTCTGATTGGTTGATGAGAAAAAACTCTATTTTTCTAACTCCAGCAGCTGCTGCTAATGACGGGCATCATGCTGCAATACATAGGTCATTTTTCTTAAAATAATTGCATTTTTTTCTTGAATTGAGGAGGAAAATCCGACATTTTGCCAATGGAACAAGATAATTTACATTTAAAATAAGAAAAAACAATTGCATTGTCTTATTTCAAGCGCATATTATCTAATTATCTTATTTTAAGAGTAAAAATACTCATCCCATTGGCAAACTATCTCATTTACCTACTCAAATTAAGGGTAAATGCAGTTGATTATTTTTTTTTTCTATATCATTTTTTCAGTGCAAGATTCATTGCTCCTGATGCTTGTAAACTATGGAAGCAAATCGTTACCATATTTACAATGAAAAAGCATTTTCACAAATGCTTTTCCATTTTAAGAATGTGGCTGCATTGTTTGACTCATAAATTAAATTAGTAATCATATTTGCATTTTAATATCCCAGCAAATACATACCAAAATTCAATTTGAAATGTAACGATTTGCTTCCATAGTAAAGCTGGAGGACCTTTTGATGCACCATAGACTGCATGTAAACCGGCTGCTTCTGCTGCCTAAAGCCCATACGGTGTGAAGGTGGCATTACATGCTTAATTAGAGAAATATTTTGGACCTCCACTGATATCAGAAAGATATTGACGCAGTTCAGAAGTATTTTCTAGGTTTGAGACAACTCAGCAGCTCCAACTTATTAACAGTCTCAGTGATTCAAATAAAAAGCTTTTATTGTCAAGTGCACCTCAAAGAAATGTTTTTCCCTCTACAATAAAATACTTTGTGGTCTAAACTCGATGCCAAGAGAAGAAAAAATTAAAACTGCATGCCATAACACAATATAATTAAAAGTGTAGAATAGAACATCAGTTTACTGCTGTGAGGAACACTTTAAGAAACACATCCTAGATCTGATAGAATGAAATATTCTCATTTATTACTTTGTTCTGTACAAAGATGAAGATGCTGACAACAAAATCACAGAAAAATCTATGAAAATCTAATTTATTAACCATTAGATGTCGGGGTTTAGAGTTACACACAAAATGAAAGATGAAAACATTACAGACTGATCAGACTTTGATGTAGTGTCATTAAAACGACGAAATGAGCCACATGAGGTCTAGCATTATACTGGTGAACATTCTGTCATCGAGGTCACAGTCATTCTAAAGAAAATTATTATTACTGGTATGTTAAAATGTACTTATGCTTTTAAAAATACATTAGAGATGAAGTAGTTTTATTCATCCCAGAATTTAATATCAAAATCAGGAAAAGTATAAACTAAACTTATGGACTTCAGTTTATACAGAGAAAAGGCTGCATTATTATTTGTTAATTTGGTAAAAAAAAAAATATAGGAAAATATAAGACTTCCACACAGAAAGCCCATATCCTCATCTTCAACTATCACAGTATACATGTTATACTTTGTGGATTTAATCCTTGGGTGAAGCTCTGGTCCACACTCCTTACCTGTAGGCGGCAGTGATGCACCATTTTTTTTTTTATTATTATTATTGTTATTCCTAATTAATGATGCTTACTAAACCGATCAGTTTTATTATATCGACCGAAAGTCCGACTGTCTTCCACTATAAGCCTGTTTTTGGTCGTCATGACCCAGATGACTTGAGGAATTTCACAGGCCTTATTTTATTTACTTTTGTTCCCACACGGACTTATTTTGTCCCCGCACACCTGCATAGACGTGTTTCCAACTTGTTGAAGTCTCTTATCCTCTCTAAATAAAACATGTTTTACGGCAGCAGCGGTTCGGATCCACTCCTCGTCCCTAAAAGCGAACTTCTGAGAGGAATCATCAGCGAGAAGCTGAGCACCGCCGCCCAGGAGATCCTGGCCGTGGTGGAGAGGACCGTAGCCGACCACGAGGAGGAGGCTGCGGGCTTGAGGCAGGAGATCGACCGCCAGAGGAGGCAGCTGGAGCTGCTGCTGCCTCGGGTCTTAGTATACAGAGGAGGTCAGTAAAAAGCATGTTTATTAGGATGGATTTACAGGCTATCCCTGTGCAAACCGCGCGGGGCAGGGCGGCTAGGATGTTCCCGCCTCGTTGGTAACGGACATGCCGACAGGGCGGCCATCTGGGATCAGACCATAGTTCAAACAGCTGCTTTTTTTTGTTTTTTCTTTTGAACATCATAAACGAATGTATAATATCACGTGACTTATAGATACACTAAAAGAAATGAAGTCTTACAGGCTTAAAGCACACATTATCAGATAAAACAGAGAATACAAAAGTGAATACAAATATAAATAAAATGATTCAGAGATCAAATAGAGTGATAGCAGCACGATAAAAAAAAAAACAGAGACAATGGGCATTAGTTCTAAAAAAAAAAAAAAATCATAATTATAGGCATCCACATGGGCGGTTCTAGACAGGGGCCAACGGGGGCCAGTGCCCCTTTAGATCATGTTATGGCCCCCGTACTGAAAACATAATACTCAAATAAATTCTATGATAAGCTGCGCTGGAACAGACATGGTTACTGATAGGTCCTCTGGATCTATTTCATGTTTTTTTCTTTACAAATCCTGTTCTGTACTAATTATTTAAAAAACAATAAGGCGATAGCTTCAGCTGTATTAAGAAAGGATCACAGTTCTATTTCATCCCTACTGACCGCCAGAGGGTGGTGCTGAAAGCACTGAATGTTCCCTTCGGGCATGCGCAGTTCGAGTAATTATACCAACAGAGTCACACCTGTGACACCGGATGACCACTCAG